ACTAAATTCTAAATTAAATATAGATGAATCCTTAAAGCTCTTTTTTCTTTAGTTCTTTAATGAACAGACGTCACAGCAGCAGGTTATGAGGTTATTTCAGCTGCTGAACATGACACGGATCTGACACGCTTCGTAGTTTCTCATAACTCTTTACCTTTTCTGACCCACTGCAGCTCTTAAAGTCTCTGTAACGAGCTTACCGAGAGCTACCAATTTTAACATTTATTAGACTAGTAACTTTTAATTTAAGTGAACTTAAAACAATCTTCATATAAACCCATTATAATTAATGTCAGCTTTTTAGCTACCTGTGCCCTTCAGCAAGTAGGAAATATACAGAAATAGAATAAAGTTATCAAACACTAAATTCTAAATTAAATATAGATGAATCCTTAAAGCTCTTTTTTCTTTAGTTCTTTAATGAACAGACGTCACAGCAGCAGGTTATGAGGTTATTTCAGCTGCTGAACATGACACGGATCTGACACGCATCGTAGTTTCTCATAACTCTTTACCTTTTCTGACTCACTGCAGCTCTTAAAGTCTCTGTAACGAGCTGAGGAGCTGAATCAGGTGTTAGATGATGGAGACAGTGCTGCTGCTTCAGGAAAACCATTTCAGAGACATGTTCTTAAATCTAACTCATATAACAGATACTTACATGCACACACAGTTTTAAGGCAGCTTTAATCGCATTTTTGGTAACTTCATGACTTAACTGACAACATAACTACGACAATGCATGCTCATAGTTTCAACCAGAAACTTGTATTTCATTGACATATGGCGTTTGGTCCTTACACGAAGACTTAAAGATTTCAGCATCTATATTTTCTATGGCAATGATTTGCGATAAAAAATAGTGGTTTATTAACTATAGCTTTCAAAAATAAATAAATAAGAAACTGACAAAATATCAGTGTCTTGCTTATTTTAGAATCTGTATCATATCAGCTAGAAATCTCCATATTTCTATGTGTGTCTCTCAGAGGGCTCAGAGAGTGAGGAAGGCGGCTTGTCCCCGTGCAGTTCTCCCAAACCGGATCACTCCGGGCCGGTCTGTCTGGGAAAGAGCACACACCGCGCTCTACTCGGCAGCGCCGCCCTGCTGGTGTCCGTGGCTCTGGGTCGCTGTCTGGAGCCGCAGCACCCGCCCACACCGCCTCCACGGGCCTCGTCACGGATGCACCTGCCCACGCTGGAGCCGGAGCCGGAGGTGGGAGATCTGATCACATTCAGCACGGACTCACTGCCGCGAGGCTTTCTGGACTTGCTGAAGCCGCCGGAGATCAAGCCGCTGCTGCTCATGCCGCCGCCACCCAACCCGCGGGACAGAGAGCGGCCGGGACGCAGGACGGCTTCGGACTGGAGCGCACACGCCAACGGAGACGCCGAGGTGCCGCAGCAGAGCGGAGAGCGCAGGAGGAGGTCCAGCTACGGACTGAACTCATCACAGCTCAGTAAGACTGCTTTTGGTTTGATTATTTTGCACTTTATGCAACACAAACTGCTCCAAAGCAGATTTACAAAAATAAACAGTGTTGCAAAGTTCTTCAGTTTCTGCAATCTGTCATTTCAGTGGTCGACCGATATATCGGCCAGTGTTTGGCATATTGTACTTATCAGCATTGGGCAGTTTTTTTTCTGTTTGGCTAATATTTCGGAAGCAGGACTTTTATTTTGACAGTGCTGATAACACCAGTGCCTGAGTGCACAGTAGGGCTGTCAAAATGGCTGAAAAACTAAATTCGAATTTTGTACTTAAATGTTATAAAAATTCGAATTTAAAATGCATAATTTCAGTTAGGGTAAAGAAAAGCTTTTGGCTTCTCTCCTGAGGCCACAAGAGGGTGCATCGAGCAAAATATTACTAATGCGCATTTATTCAAAACATAAGATAACATGACTATCTGTGAAAAAACGTGCATAATGTTTATAAACCAATCATAATTAATTAAGTTGCTTAAACAACTATAAACAAAACGGCATCGTGCATGTATGTGTAGTATAAAAGTAGTACAAAGGGCCGAAAGCCAATCACACAGAGTACATTTTTCATTTAAAACCATGAGATGCAGTGGGATGGGGAAAAAACACGCCATAAAGTCTCGAGATAAACTTGCATTAATTTTACATGGCTTTCTAAACATGTGGCTCTTTTGTGCGAGATGCGAGTGCAACGGTGATAGATGTCCCTCTAGAAAATGTGCGAAATATGATGTAAACAAGATCTTCTCTGCATTGATGTTCTCTTTTCCCGCAATATTTTTAATGAACAA